CCGTCTTGCTCACACCCCACAGAGCCCGCGATGTCGCAGTGGGAGCCCCAGCTGCCATCCTCCTGCAGCCAGGATCAGCACAGCTGGGAAGGGAACCTCCACCTTGCCTGACCCCGCCCCTGCCTCTCCTTCCAAGGTTCCCCAAAGCATGGGAGAAGACATCCCCTCGCCCCTCTGTATCCACTGCAGTAAGACTGCATTTGCTCTGGCCTGGGTGTCCCCAAAATTCACGGACTGGGATTCTACTGTAAACTGGACCCACTGATTGTGTTGGAACACACGGCCTTGCGAGGTGAGTGGCTGGTGGTGAGGGCGGGCGCCCTGTGGTTGAGTCCTGCAGCTTACAAGGAGGGAGAAAGGAGGTCGACCACGCCTGCTGTCTGCTCCAGCTCCCAGCTACTCAGGGCCCTGGCCCGCAGACCTCCAAACCGCGAGCTGAGCAGACCTGTGCCCGTGAGTCGCCCAGCCTCCTCACTATTGGGCCCTAGAGGCAGACGGTGGGCCAGAGCAGCGCTCGCGGTCTGCACTGCCTGTGTCAGCAGCTCAGGCCGTCCCTGAGCGGACCTGGCCCTTCCCTGCTCTCAGCTCTGTGTCAGCGAGGGCAGGGCCTGGCCCTTGAGAGAGACCAGGCAGGCCCACCAGTTGGGTAGATGGAGTCAGGTCAGCTGTGTGGACTCGGCTGGCCCCACCTGTTGACCCAGGGGGCGTGGGGGGGCATCTCACTTCCTGTGTGTTCCCCTCTGGTAAACCATGTTTGTTTAGCTTTTCTGCTTTTATAAGTGAGCCATCAACTCCTGGGTATAGGCCTGGCTGCTGTTAATAAGTAGCATGCCTCTTACATTTGCTTATGATGGCTGGCGGGCAGAGCTCCCTCAGTTAGATCCTCAAAGCAGGAAAGAACAGGGGCAGTGGCCTAACGCCACCCTAGTGCTGCTCCTGGTGGGGAGCTGCCCGTGAATGGGCTGTTTACTCAGGAAGGGGGCTGGTGCGTCATTCCTGGTACACTACGTTTTAACCAGACAGTGGGCAGTGCTTTGGTGGCTAGAGCACGGCTCCGCTCTGGAATGAGCCGAGGCCACCAGACAGCTGTACTCAATTTCCATGAGAGCCCACAAAGGCCAGAGTCAAATGTCCCGTAAGGGGCAGGGAAGGGAGGACTGAGCTGGGCGGCAGCACGGCCGTGGCCGGAGCTGCACCCTCTGCGTTGAGGCTCACGAGTCCACACACGTTGAGGAAGTAAAGATGCCGGCCGCCAGCTGCCCTGTTCAGGTGTGAGCGTAGGAAACACCACGAAGGAACTGCTTTCTCCACCTCACATCTGAGCCGGGCAGGAAGGGTGTTGTTTACCGGCTCTTGGCTGGGAGGGAAGGGGTGTCTCCTCTCCCTTCCCTCTGTTTATGAATGCTGCTGGTGATATTAGGTCATCGGGGAAGTCTTGAAGTCGTTTTCTATGTTTTTCTATGCAAAAATGTGTCATAACTTTCCCAACAACCCAATCATTCACAAAGCATTCATGCTTTCATTGCCTCGAGGAAAGGTTAACCATGGTCCCTCTCCAGAAGAGGAAGCCCTCGCCTGAGTGTGCTGCCGTGCACCAGGCCCCACTCGGGAGCATTGCGTAGGAAAACGCGCGTGTCGTGGGTACCTCCAAATGGGCAGGGAGGGCGAAGACTTAGCCAAGGCCCCCCTAGGAAGGAGCCAGCCCTGCACTCACCCTCAGGCGGCCTGGCTCCCGTGCCCACTCTCTCACCTGCAGATTCATTCCACTCTGGGCTCCCGGGCCCTCTGACTATTGGCAGGTGACACCGTTCACAGCATACAAGTGCTCTGGGTCTCTCAGAGAAAGCCAGGGTCGTTGGCCACCACGGACGGCCGCGAGGGCTTAAGACAATCAGCACTGTAGTTCACAAACGTTCTTTCTCACGATGAGGTGGTTTGGGCTCTATAATATATGCACATTTGATTACACAGTCTTATGCATATTTATCACTGTTGGCGGTTTCCTCCGGCTGGTTTTAGCTGCATTATGAATTCTCTGAGTACACTCCCAGTATTCGGAGACTTTGCATGGGGAGCCAGAGAGAGCCCACTGAATGTTTGCAATGACTGAGTCACGGGAAGAAGGGGAGGAAGGAGCTGCTTTTAGTTCACAGAAATATTTTGAGTTATTTTCCAAATTGCCTGAGTTAGGAAATATAAATCTAAAATACGTTAAAATATAGACAGAATTCCTTCTGAAAGGACCCTGGAAGATTTAGAGTATTAAGAGGTTTTTTGTTTGTTTGTTTGTTTAGTATTCAAAGAACAGAAGAAAACGCCTTGCCTGAGCTGATCTCTGAACCAAGGAGCTACTGGTGAGGGTGGCCGAGTTCATCGCCCCCCTCTCTTGCAGCATCCTGACTGCTCGCTCGCTCTCTGCAACTCCCGCCGCTCAGTGTCGGACATCACTTGTGAACGACTGAATGCTGGCAGTCGAAACCCCTCTGCTCAAAGTCCTAAAGTGACATTCTGTCCCTAGTCATGGAGGACTTGGCAATTTAGAAAAACCTTTTAGCAGAGAACAAATAAAAATGACAGGGAGAGCCTGTTAAAATCTCGAAGGCAGTGTTACCTCTCGACAGTGAGCTAACATCGCAGTGAGTTACCAGGAGAAGATGAGGCCTGAGACCAGGAGCCTGGAGGTGGCTCAGCAGTGGGAACCAGCGCTTCCCTCCGGAGGCTGTGTCTATTCTACAGAGCTGGCGAAGGAGGCTAGCAGCTGCCGTGGAGCTCCCCAACACGGGACTGGGGGGCTGGCGAGCCCTGGTGTGGTGGGCAGTCTCTGACACCTGCTTCCTCTGGGCTGGGATCGCTGACGGGTCACACCCGAGGAGGAAACTGGGCGGAAGCTGACTGCTCTCAAGGACACGGTAGTTCCCGCCACGCTCTTTCCCCTTCCGCAAC